GGATCCATCTATGGACCAATACTATGCGTATATCTTTATCGTATAAGTGTTAAATAACTAAACTATTCATATTCATGTCCTTATCATGAGCTTTATTTTGATCTATGGACTATTATACAATTTACCATTCTTGAATTATGCCCAGTCTATCAATTACTACCTCCCACATTCACAGCCACATTTGGTCAAATATTGTACAAATGTTGTTTTCTATTTTATTGGTACGATGTGGTCTGTTTGATTGGTATATAAACCCCGTATGCTTGAAACAAATGATTCATATTGCAGAGTCTTGGATTGGTGTTCTGGACTTAACTGGCTGGGCTAGGCAGAAAGCAGGACCAGTCAGGACTCTAGACTGCTCGCACATGTTTTATACGTCACTGGTACGTTCGATAAATCACTGCTCTCTAATTGGCGGTATCGTTACGTTATGCATTAACAGGGCATACAGACCACAAGTTATAACACTATGACACTTCTGGAACCCAAAAAGTGAGTTTACATTATGTTACCATTTAGATGTGACTCATACAGTCTCATGTTGAAATGGAGACTTAAATTAGCCATCAATCGGACATTTTATGCAACCCAACTTGTCATTATTGAAAAGACAAAGTTCATGTTTCACCAAACAGTACGTAAGCGATTGTGTCTATCAATTTACACTGGCACTAACTTCCAGCATAGTCATCGCCGATGTGCCACCTGGCGTCATCCCTCTGCATCTCAAGCCTGGACTCAGATTGATCATATCGCGATCAGCTACCGATGGCGTAGTTGTATACAAGACTGCCGCTCCTTTTGGAGTACCTATCTGGATTCTGATCATGCCCTGGTCTGGGCCAATCTTACCTTACTTCTCAGTGGCCAACGAAGTGACCGCCACCAAAGGACTGATGTCAGCAAGTTGGTTGCAACTTCTGTTGCTAGTAAGTATCGAACCGAGCTAGGTTATAGGCTAGCTACCATTCCACCGAAAAGTATAGATGAGCATTGGTCGCAATTGCATGACACCATGAAAATGTCGAGTAAAGTGAGTTGTGGGTTCGCGAAATGTCCCACTTATAAGCACTGGGTTTCTTCAGGCTCCTTACAAATCATCGAGACCCGTCGGTCTACTCCGGGTGACCGTGAGTTTGACCACAAACGAAGGATGTTACGTGATGAAATTGGACAAAGCTTGCGTGAGGACCGAGAAGCCTGGTGGTCGGAGCGTGCTAATAAGCTGGAAGCAGCAGCTGCATCTGGTAACTACCGGAAGCTCTTCCAACTTATCCGAGCCACTGGCAGCAAGAAGTCTGGTGTGAGCGAGATAATCTGCGAGGATGATGAGATGCCAATCACTAACATCCATCGACGTCTTAGACGATGGGCAGAGTTCTTTGTAAAAAGTGGCCATAACTTCATTAACTGAAAGGATTCTTTCTGATTGTACCTTTCTTGTTCCCTCATTATTATTGTTTCGCTACCATACAATAATTTGTGGCCGTTATTGTTCTCTTTTTCTTTTTACATGCACCTTACATTATTTATCTCTTCCCATTCTCATTATTATTGTGTGGCGCATATGGATCTGGTGCCCCCTTGTACCACTATTTATGTGTTCAGCTAAATAAATAAATTTACATATATGTGCGGAAGCACGTACATGGAAAGGAACAATCGTGATCTGCAATTAAGGGTGGCGGAGAACATACCCAAATGGCTGCAGAAGCAAATGAATTCCAATGGTCAAACAAGATCACAGTATAGCAGACATCTTCCTGCATTGCGAAACATTTAGTTGAGACTGATCATAAGGTTGATATCAAGTGAGCCTTTGTAGTTTTGTACAAAAGCTTTCAAGGACTTATACCAAGGTTTATTGAAGCCTTGGCTATACGGAAACTGAAACCCCCTTTATGTGTTCAAAAACAATTTGTTCTAACCCTTAACCTACCCTGGTAATATTGATTTATTGTCGAGAGCGGTTATCACATTGTTTTTTGTGTATTTTATTTTTCTTTGTTACGGCTTACCTTTAACCTGTCTAGTTGACCTTTTATTCAAATAAATGTTCTTAACATGTATATGTGTGATCAGATTGTTCGAAATGTATTGCGCAAACATATAACATAATTCTAATAACCTTCGTCTTCTCATTGTATTATCGAAGTTTATCAAAGGGACTAATTGTTTTAAAGTATTTTAGTTAGTCGTATTGTATATTTTATAAGAACACTTTTGTTGCACTAAATATTACTTTAAGCCCTGTCTTATCAGAAAGGATTTACTGTATTTTCAAACTGAAATATACCAAACTGGTTTCTTTGATGGAACATACATACTCGCTAAATAATTATCAGATCATATTCAAATTCTACTTTTGTTTGTATTGTAAATGTTAGTTATTCAATATGAAATGTACTTGATCCATAGAATATGGTTTTGTGTATGCAACTAGAAAAATATTGTCAGGTTAAACAGTTGGAATTGTTTAATTTCAATTGCTAAGACTTTTACAAGTACAACTTTATATTGATTGTTTTTTGTATACTTAGTAATTAATCCTATGAAACTATTGATTAAAAGTTTAATGAAGTTCCACAGGAACTTGGAAAACAGTAATAATTCTAAACAACACAACAAAATCCTAAGACTAGATAGTATAAAATATTGACCATCTTGGGATATTCTAATCTAACTAGCGTTATCACAAAGCCTTTATCGTGCTTACTTCAGTTAGGTTAAATTTATAGTTAAGTAGATATCTAAGTTTTTTCTGAGCAAACTGTCCAAACATGAATAGTTTACATACATCGTTATTAGACATAATTTTTATAAATATATTGTGTATTTATTGTTGTTGTCGAAACCTGATGACATTAACAGGAGAAGTAATGATGTCTTTATTAGTTGTTATGATTACAAAATAAGTTGAAAACTAACTATAATAAAGGACATTGATTTAGTAATCAATTTATGCTCCCTTAATAATCGCTTATTAAAAAGAACTAGTATGTAATTACTGCTTCTAGTTTAAAATTAATTTCTTTTAGTCAATCAATATCATATTTAGTATAATCTTTTAATTGTCTTTCTTAAAAGTAAACTATAAAATCAATTAGGTGACTTATAATCAATAATAGATCAATGATGGGAAAAAGAAGTCGACCTATAGTTTCGTTTAGAGGTTTGTTTTTTTTTGTTTGAAAAATATGAATTATCTTACAATAACATAAACTAATTTAAATACAACACACACACACACATACTCACACAACTAATGAATTGTTCATTAGTACTGAAAAATAAATAAACATAATAAACTGAGAAAGTAGTATAGTTATTAAGTTCTCTTTTAGCTGGAGTAAATAATATTGATTATGTAACGAAGTTATTCAGAAGAAAAAAAACTCACCTAGTATAAATACATTTATATGAATTGTTCAAAATTTGTACAAACAACAGACTTAATAACAATCATGAAAAGAAGATACAGGATAGATGTTAGGATCAATCAATTATTCATAATAACAAGAATAAAGTAATATATCTCTTAGACTTTGAATCGTACACTTTAAATGAATATTCTAATTGATGAAGATGATCATTTTTTAAATTCAGATTCAATTACAATATATAAGTAACAATTGAATATAATCTAACTTATTCTCTATTCATTCATTGAATTTATCAACAAAACAATATGATTCATATATATATAATGAGATATTTAAGAATAATAAAGCCTTACAAGATTCTTTAATTAAATCTAAACAACTATAGAATAGGAAGAAGAAAAAAAGTAATCAGGAGTAAAATATTTAAAAAAAAAAAGAGAGAAAACATTAATACTCTTATTAAAAAATAACTTAGAAACCAGCAGTAGAATTTTATTGATTAAATCTATATTATAAAGAAATTTTTCAAAAAGAAACTTTTAATAACTCTGATGATAAGTTGATAAATCTTACTTATAAATGATCTTCAATGTATATTGAATAAATAAATGAGATAGTACGTTCATTCTTGAAAATAGACATTCTGATACAAATCGGTTGATATATATATATCATGATTACAAAGTGAATATTTGTATTAGATTAAATCTAAATTCAAGTATTGCTAATTTGATGTGCATTATTATAGGTTAGTGGAACTGTAAATACACAGACACACACACACACACACATAATTATTTATTTATGTACACAGCAGTGAAATATATATTTTATAAAGAATTTCTATATTTAAAAAAAAGGGAAAACAAGGGGTTTTTTTTATTTCTGATCAAGAATGAATAATGTGAGTTTAATTCAACAATAAAATGATCTTCTTTTCACTTTTTTTTTTAATCCCATCGCAAAAACATTAAAAACAAACAAAACAAGAAAAGAAAAGCACTTGAATTGAACAATAAAAACACAGAATATGCTTTTCTTTTTTTTCTTTCCAGTTCAAAAGTTTATTTGTTATTTAATTCAGTAAAGTAAATCTAATCATTTTGATATAAGAAAAAAAAGAAGAGAAAAGAAATGTAAAGTGAAGAAAACTTCATCTCTATGATTTGAATCGTTTTTTTTTTTCATTTTATTCTCTTCAGAATTGAAAAAACCATGACCATAACAGTAAATAAATAAATAAATTATTATTCACAATTATATAAAATAGGTTAGATCATTTAATTGTTCAGTTTTTGTTGTTGTTGTTGTTGTAATAAATAGAATAATCTATATGATGGATCAGTTAAGTTGATAAAACACAAATTGTAGACTATGAATGATTCATTTATATATATGGAATATAGACATGCTATATGATAGATAGAATTTCAATACAATAACAATTACACTCTTTATCAAATGCACAAATCTCATACATAGATACATACATACATACATACATACGTACACACACCTACAATCATTATTTATATAAACATATGTATGAAATAATAAGAAAAAAGGTTTTAGATCATTTGTGATAAGTTAACAATGATGAATAATCATTTAATGCTAAAATTCTTTATCCCAACCTGATGTTTCATCAGGTGGGATTTCATTTTGTTGAGGATATTTATCAAAATTAGTTGTATCATCTGGGCCAAGTATCTATGGGGAAAAAGTGACGGACAATTTTTAAAAAAAATCAATAAAATGTATGTAATTATATTTTCAGCATGACAAAAAGTGACCAAATTTTTTTTTTCAAATTGGTGAATAACTAACATTAATTTCATTTATTTATTTGACCACATAAATATTGATACAAAGGGGCACCGAATACGTAAGCGCCACACAATTCACTTGATTTGTGTATAAGCTTTGATACTGTCTGGGTGCCCAAACCAAGGCAGGTGGTTTTCTTAGAGAGTCACATCCCGAGCCTTTGACCTATAAGTTTAATCTAAAAGACAGTGGAGCAACGTAAGGAGATGCAGTCACATGGTAGCCAGTGACCAACGATTGATTCATACACCATTTGTTCCTTCAGGTCACTAGAGCCCATATGCACCATTGGTTTGGAATGAGAGTTTTCGAACTCCCATAGGTGGATTCTCCATATCTGTCAACCCGGTTAAAGCGTCAGACATTCACTTTTCGTCCTCTTAATTTTGTAAACAACGGTAATGCCGCGAGAAAGCACTGAGTAGAACTTTCCTGTCAATGTCTTTATACATGTGGCCATAAGAGAGCATTTCGCGAGGGATAGTTGTCTCTCCTCACCATCGGCCGTACTATTGTTCACTCTATCAAGAAAAATATTTTTCAAGAAACCGATTCATTAATGCAGTTCAACATCCAGTCAGTTCATGTACTTGCTTCGTGGATAAAACAAACAAATGTTCAGCAGATAAAAAGAAGAAAAACAACTTCCAGTAAATGCTATTTTTGTTGAGATCATGAAAGGTTCGATGTTAGACAACTATTGGAAACTTGGAGGCACTGCACGGCCGTTTCGTTCTATTATAGGACTTCTCAACAGTGTGCATCCACGATCTCACACGAGGCACTCGAACCCAGGACCTTCGGTCTCGCGCACGAACACCTGGCCTCTGGACCACTGAGACAGTATTCAACGTTGTTAATGCCTAACTTCAACCAATCGACGAAATTGCGTAAACATTTTCCATTGTCAGGGGTAGATACTTGTTTCTACCTGACACGGATTAGCTCCACTGGTCCTGGGTTGGAATTCAGCTTGTGGGATCGTGGATGTGCGCTGCTGAGGAGTTCTATACTAAGACGAAACGGCCGTCCAGTGCCCCCCAGGGTTTTCAATGATGGTCTAACGTTAAGCGATTCATGATTTCAACTGAAAACCTAACAATCTCCACAACCCCATACTGTTAAATGCCTTTTTCTCTGCTTTTCAAGTCTAATCACATAAGCCAGAATAGTAATGCTTCTAGTCCTGGTAGAATGAAATCTGATCAAAGAATTTGTGACATAAGTCGATCCCATTGATTTCGAAAATAAACGTGATTCATTTGTCCATTATTGCTTTATAAAATCTCACAGATTGAAATCATGAAGCAATTGAAGCTAGACCACCATGGAAAACCTGGAAGCACTGGACGGCCGTTTCGTCCTAGCATGGGACTCCTCAGCAATGCGCATCCACGATCCAACCCCCACAGGATTCGAACACAGGATCTACTGGCTTCGCGCGCGAGCACTTAACCATTAGACCACTGAGCCAGCATCCAACGGTGTTAATGTCTAACTTCAACCAATCCACGAAGTTGCGCCACCGAACACCATTGTCTTCAGTGAGCTGATATCTCACAACAGACTTGGTTTGAAGTTCAACTTCATATGCGATAACTAGTTATAGAGCTAAGTTTAAACCTTCAGTCTCTTGTTGAAAACCAGGTAGTGTTTTAATTAAGCTCCCGTTCTCAATTTATCCTGAGTAACTTCGAATATAACGAATAGTATTGAAGATAAATAAAATATTTTATACGTAATATCATTTATAATGAGTGGAGACAACTTACAGTAGGTTGTATAGGAGCTGCTAACGTACCACGATGCAAACCGATCCAGTCAAATCCTTGAAAATATCTAAATGTATCAGTAAAAAAATGTAAAAAATTAATGATATTTTCATACTTGACAAATGATTTATACAACACATAGTTAGGTATTTGTTACGTCCGATCATGTTTATGGTAACAGTTTTCAAACTGATGGGTCAAATTATAAAGAAGTGCTCAAATCTTTCATCGGTGAGTAAAAGAGATAACATTATGTGACTACTAATTACCACCTACTTTGATGAGCGATGCTTACTAGCGCAGAAAGTGGAAGAAAGCTGTGGACGTTGAAGACAAAATGTATGGTCAGTCTGTTAAGTCATTAATTGTTTGTTTTAGCCATACTGGTAGATTCAAGCTACCTTGGTTGGGTCCGTGAGGCAACCGCGATCAGTGGATGAGGACTTTGAGTGACAAGGTTCAGAAGCGTTCATAAAAGGTCGGATATATCCAATTTTTATCCCCCATTCTATCTTAAATCGCGGTATCCATTCATACAGACTTCTCCGAAATTCTCCACACACTCAGTGAGTTGCTCTGATGCTGTCCGATAAAGCACTTATGGAATGAAAATCTCATGGACCCAGGATCATCAAAGAATCTTTCAAAACAAAGAAGTAAGGAACTACAGTGAATGATATCCAGTGCCCTGCATCTACCAATGATAGCAATGAAGACGATTAATGTCAGTTTTTTGAGAAGCTTTAATCGATCATAGTGAAGTACTCACAGAAGGACTTGAGCATCTTGGTAGAAGACCTAAACACCAATGTTTGAATGGACAATTCCGGGTTAAAATGACCTCCACATATGAGGGGAAGCACAGAATACAATGGACAGCGTGCATGCAACTAGGCGATTTGGACTTTCCAGACGACTTGGCCTTTCTATCCCATACATACCAACAAATGCACGTCAAAACAACCAGTGTAACAACAGGATTCGCTGCATCAGTAAGCCTCATGATACACAAGAGAAAGACCAAGAACCTCATATACAACATGAAGAACACTAACCCAATCACACTTAGTGGAGAAGCTCTAGAAGTTGAAGAAGCTTTCATGTAACTGGGGAACATCATCGATGAACCAGGAGAGTTCGATGCAGACGTAAAGGCGAGGATTGACAAAGCAAGGGTGGCATTTGTACACTACAAGTATTTATAAACAATTGTATAAGTAAGATACTCATTGTCCGTTGACCGGATACCATCAGCAACAACCCACTTTGAGAGAGAACAAATCAGCTTACAGTTGAAGAGGAAATTAGGAAAACATGTTGGAGGTGGATACGACATACATTGTGGAAATCATCAAAGTGCATCACGAGTCAAGTTCTCACATAGAATCGTGAAGGGAAATGAGAATGCGGGAGGCCATAGAACACACTGCGTGGATAATTGGAAGTAGATATGAAAAGAATGAATAGCGACTGGGAAGAACTGGAAAGGATTATCGAAGATATAGTTGAATGGAGATTGTTGGTTGGCGATCTATGCTCGTCCACGAGGGATAACTGGCGTAAGTAAGTATGTAAGTAAGACTGGATATTCGTTTGGTACGCTACACAGACTGAGATCAGCTTATGAGAAACAGAGGATTCACGATCAGATAAAGACAACCAGAATTAAGGTTAGACAATAATTTATTTAACACAATTACAGGCAGTTTTCGCTCAATGAGTTCGGAGCAGACATCAGTAATATAAAGGAAATTACACATTTAATCGTCGGTAAGCTAAGTTGTTGTTTGCCCACATTCAATGACCACTTACATTAGAACTTCTACTACCATACAATAAAGACCTGCTTTAATTTAATGTTAAACATTGATAGTTTGTTTTATTATTTCAGTATTAATATAGATTAATCTTGTATGTAGCTATTGTAAAACCATTCATTTATTCATAGTTTTGAAAGAAATATATATATTTTTTGATTTTTAAGTATTGAAATTTACCCTATAGACATTGACTCGCTTTGCCGTTTAGATTATTATCGTTTTACCTTTTTGAACTAAGACAATTATTCCTTTTCTTTCGATTAAATATTCAATGTGTAATGACGTACTATCATTATTAGCTTATTATTAATCAATAATAGATGTAATATGAATAACATTGTACTCTTACACAATGTATCATGTAGGAAATGATGTAATAAAGTGGGAAAAAATTAGAGTCAATTTATTTTTCCACTTAGATTGTCTTTTATCTAGTTTAGTAATTTTCAACAGTGTAAGACTTTTTTTTTTAACCGATATTAGACAAGAACGATATCAATATAAACTTACTTTAATATCATAATTTATAGATAAATAATGAATAAAATATTTTTATTTTAATTGTTTCTCATAGTTTTATTACATCAGTTTACTCTAAGATAAAATATCTACTATCTAATTGACTGATACTTTCTAATAGTTTATTAAACTGATTATTTTGTCCTAACAGCTAGGGATCATTAATGGGAGAGTGATTTTCTTTAGTTTTACGTATCCCCAAGCTATTATTATTATTATTTAAACATATAAACAACGGTACAAGGAAGCACCAAGTATATATGCGCCACACCTCATCATTCGATTTGTGTAAGGATTGAAATACTTCCCGAGCACCCTCACAGAAGCAGGCGCTTTTCTTGGGGTGCCACTCTCCCAGCCTTTGACTTACAAGTCTAACCAACAAGACAGTAGACCAACGTTAGTAGATTCAGTCATATGGTAGCCAGTGACCAACAATTGGTTCATACTCCATTTATTTCTTCAGGATACTAGAGCTCACATGCACCATTGGTTTGGAATGAGAGTTTTCCAACTCCGCTAGGTGGTTTCTCTATATCTGCTAACCCGGTTTAAGAACCAAACATTCGCTTTTCGTCCTCTCAATTTCATAAATAACACCCCCATCGTGAGAAGGCAGTGATTAAGACTTTTTTGGCAGTGGCTGTATGCACGTGGCCATAAGAGAGCATTTCGGGGAGGGAAAGCTAACTCTCCCCACCCTCGGTCGTACCCAAGTTATATTGGTTTAAACCGCATAGACAGATTATTTTACACATAGATTAGCATAAACAACATAGGAATTCGGAATAGATATCCATCAGTTAGAATTATCATATTTTACCTTAATACAATCGCTTATGAAATTTATAACTAGAAGAAATATATTTCACTGAAAGTAGTGACACAACTTGAAATTAAAGAGAAAATTATTATTTTATGAATTGTCTCTTATATCTATCCTCTTTAATCAGTTTAGTAGTTATTTGGGTTATAAACTCCTGTACATTATAAATACTATAACATAGTCAATAAGGTGAATTAGTGATATTAATTTTTTAAATCACTGATACTATTTTCGATTGCCTATAATAAGAAAATAAACTTTGTTTTATTTGTATACAAAATGGATAATTCACAATCAATGAAAATTTTAAGAACATAATTTATAATATGCTTAAAACTACATATATAATTGACATTTTACTTCATATATCTGTTAATGACATTATAACTGAACATATGTGATAATTTAAGCCTAAATATAATATAATTACCGTTGAAAAGTGTGTTATTAACTATCCTACTTTTGTTTTTTGTATAATCATCTTCGATACAATCATTCACAGAGTACCATTATGTGAATCGCTTTAAATGAAATAATCAGGTCTAAAAAAAAAACACAGTTTGAATATGTCGAAGGCGATTTTTGTCCAGAATTGATATCATTTAGAAAAAAAAAAACTTATGAGCGCAGTTGTTTATGACTTTTTAATTTCTGAATGTTATGTAGTTGCGATATTACATAGAATTAGCTGCAAGTACTTCAATCATCACAGTCAGTACGATATCCTTGGTGGTAGGTGAAAATTTTTCGAATGTGTCAGCAAGAAATCAAAAGTGATACAATGACTCAGTGATGACATTAGGTGAAAATCTTACTATATCAAGCATTTATTGATGTTCAAAATTTACTAACTAATAAACTTGTTGATTGTGAATTTAATTTTGCTTGGGCTGAAGAAAAAAAGTTCATTACTGAGGACTGTCAAACTAGGAACAACCATTTATTTATCATTGCTTATCCGAAATCTATTAATTAAATCAATACGATATGCTAATAAGGTGTAATTATAACCCTGGGATTAGTCAAATTATTAATTATAATTAACGTTGTAATTTTCACGATATGAAGTTGGTACACATAGTAACTGAACAGAAACAGAAATTTCATATATATTATCACTCACTTATTTTGTTTAATATCGATTATTCCCCCTCGTCCATAGCCTAATCGTTCAGCTGGATTCTGTGCACATAAACGTTTAATAAGTGTAGTTGCAGTTCGACTTATATTCGATGGATCGAATTCAACACAATCTATTCCACGCAGAACAACATTATAAATTTTCATTGGATCAGTACCAGTAAATGGTGGACTGTAAAAGGGATAAAAGGTAGAGAGAACATTAAAAATAACAAAGTAACTTGTTAACGATAGGTACAGAATTTATAAACTATATAAGGGGACACAGATAAACATTTGAGAAACAGTTGGCATAAAATTACACAATATGTTCAAAACTTAGAAATGGCAATGAAAGCGTCTTTGTTTTTCTAAAGAATAAAAATTTTCACTTGTTTGGACTATAATTCCAGTGAAAAAATGTTATTCAAAGAGTAAGTAAAGTATAAAATGTACATAAAATTGGATGGTCACTGAGTATTGATTAATGTCATACTTGTCTGGTCTCTTAATTGGTAACTGAATTTCATCGATCGAGTTAACATCTAACTAAATACTAGTTTGAGTTACTCGACATCTCATGCAATACGTTTTGATTTTACACAAGGGGTAGGAAACGTTGGAACTAGGTTTTGTGTTAGTTAGCAATCATCAGTAAGGCAATTCTTCAATATGGAGGGGACTGACGCCCCATGTAGGCTTTAATCAGCGTCACTTAACTTCATAGTCTGAGACGTTACGGATGAGCTATTTGTGCCGTAGCTGACCTCCTGTGAAACAGGGATGTCTACAGCTAATTGATCACTAAACAGCCGAAATATAAATAAAAGGTTTGAAGATTTTATACTCACAACCAATTTTAGCTACTCCTTTGGAAAAGATGAAATCGTTAAAGAACAGTTAGAGAAGCAAAAAGTATATGATTAAACTATCAATTATCAAAACATAACAACTCATACAACTGATGGTGAGAGCAATTTTGAATCCTGAAACTAGAGAAGAAAAGATTTCAGGTACTTAATTTTACAACTAATTTCTAAAATGAAGTGAAAACAAATTGCGAGTCATTGAAATCCAGAAGACACTGCTAAACAACTGTCTTTATCTTAGTTCACAGGCCTCATTCGCAGTGAGCACCTGTGATTCCAAAAAAGCAATACATGAGATGTACATCTACCAATCTTATAGGTGACGTTTCAATTTTACATTCAGTTTGCGATATGACACACAATATACGTTCAATATCACCATCAAGTTACTGCATCGTTTTCAACGTGTGTGACAAGTACAAGTATTTATAAACAATTGTATAAGTAAGATACTCATTGTCCGTTGACCGGATACCATCAGCAACAACCCACTTTGAGAGAGAACAAATCAGTTTCCAGTTGAAGAGGAAATTAGGAAAACATGTTGGAGGTGGATACGACATACATTGTGGAAATCATCAAAGTGCATCACGAGTCAAGTTCTCACATAGAATCGTGAAGGGAAATGAGAATGCGGGAGGCCATAGAACACATTGCGTGGATAATTGGAAGTAGATATGAAAAGAATGAATAGCGATTGGGAAGAACTGGAAAGGATTATCGAAGATAGAGTTGAATGGAGATTGTTGATTGGCGATCTATGTTCGTTCACGAGGGATAAGTAAGTAGTTAATTTACGCGTTAAATGTTAAGGTCTATTGCTTTTTTGAAATGCTTTTTTCATACTTTAAAAGTCATCCTCTAATAAAGAATCAATGAAACACTGACAGAACGAAAAACAATCTGGATTAATTCACTTACACAACGAATTATAATTCATCAAATAAGTGACCAGATAAAAATTAAGTAATAACAGATAGCTTAAGTGAAATATACGCTCGAAATATCACTCTTTATATTAAGAATACATTATCCAAAAAAAACATCTGTTTATCTGCCTATATGCCTAACCGATTTGTCTATTTTTCATAAATCAATAATAAAGCGTAAATAAATAACAAATCAAGGGACTGGAAAATAATTGTTTTTCCACACCAATTGGCATTACATTAGCAAAGTATCGAAAAATGAGGACAATTACAACATTTAGAAATATGTATTAAGTAGTTCACAGTTATTACAATCGTAAACTTGATTCAGTCGTATAATTTTAAGTGATAGAGAAGACATGCAGCTGAGTTAAATGTTTTTAATAATATTGAATTCTCTGAGGTAGATGATTTAATTGATTAAGTTTCGCCATTGTTTTGAACAACTGGACCAGTGCTTATTTCAAGTAGAAGTGAATTTTCAGCTATTTCACAAGTACTATTTCAGCTTATTTATATAGCTTTCTATATCACTGGTTGTCTTTATAGATCTTAATTTGTTCTTGGACTTATGGTAACTAATGTTTTTTTAGTTTACTTTAGACCATATGATTTTTAAGCTTTGAATCAACAGTAGTATCTCTGAACTACCGAGTCGAGATTCAGGAGAGTTTATCTTTTTAGCAGCAGTTATTTTCTGATTTTAATTATTGAAACAATATCATAATATATAAGAACTATCGTATACATTTAATCAGATAGTTTCACAGCATTCAGGTGTCAAGTTGATATGACACATTAAGCAGGGAGAATGTATTTGTAAAATTTCAGAGAATGAATTCCAAGTACATCCAAGCTTTTCAACGAAATATAATCAAATATCAAGATTATCAAATATAAATAGGTATATGGTTCTCTGGTTAACTGTATACCAAATAGGTTATTCAATCATGTTAACACTGTTTAAAGTAAGAATTTACTTTAATGTGTATGAAACATGTGATTTGAAACGAGAATTATGTTAAAATAATAGATTGTTTGTATTGTGTGTAAGCGGATGTGAGGTGTGTAAAGTAATTTCATTGACGATTTATCGCTTTTGACGGGTGAATTTTTAAGAAAACATACAATTTTTATACATGATATGAATCAAATATGTCACATCATATTCTTTTTTAATGATACATTCAACAAACAAGTAACCATTGAAGCTGATCTGTTGGAATACTACTGACGTATGAATATTTCGAGATGAACTTTCATTTGGAATAACTGTGTCAGTCTAGTTATCAGTATGAGTGTATGAATCTTAATAAGCGATAAATAAATATATCATATTTCTGAATACATATGAAAAACAATGATATTACGTACTTCAATTGTAACCAATTGAAAGAGACTGTATAAAGGTACAATTTAATAAAACTGACATTTATGTTAAAATGCACAGATATTTCAACATCTGTCAAGATTATAGGTGCGCCTTATTGACAAGTATCAAGTAGCACAAAATCTAGATTTACGGTATCTTGTCAACTATCATAAATCACCTAACATATCAGTGTAACGTTTATGATTAAACCATTCTTAATATGAATTACTTACTTATTTATGATACTGATATAAAATCTGTTTTTGTAGAATTAGACAAGATCGATTTACAAATGGTATACTATGGTGTGAAACATCAATGAAACTACGGTTTTTGATAAAAGTAATTCGACATTATGTTGAATAAATGATAAATTTATATAATGTGAAATACTGTTAATGTGACGTTAAACTTTGTGATTTGACTGATTCTTTCATAACAAGAAAAAATATACCTCATTATACTAGCTAATAGTAGGTAGACAGGAGAGAAAAACCGTATGAATTGGCTTTAAACCCTAATATATTTTATTGCAATTTTAAATTCCTGAGTGAAATCACTTTTTCCAAAAAATCATTTTCACCTTTACAGCTTATAGAGATTTCATGATTGTCATGTCAAGTGTGAGGCAGTTATTCACTGATGGCAGTGAGAGATGGTCGCACAATATTGTGAGTTGGTCGACAAACACTGTTGGATCCCGGTTCAGTGGTTTAGAGGTTAAGCGTTCGCGCGAGACAAAGGGCCTAGGTTCGAGTCTCATGTGCGGGATTGTGGATGCGCACTGCTAGTTTAGTCTCATTTCTTCTTACTGTCGGAAAACTAGGTACTTCTCGGTATATTAAAGAACAAAATTGCTAAGTAAACTGTATAAGTAAATGAAAACATATATATGATAATCCCAACACAAGCGCATAATAGTAAGAGGTTTGCATATCAAATTATATATATATATATATATATATATATATATATATATATATATATATATATATATATATATATATATATATATATATATATATATATATACCATACATTAAATACTTCATTTGCAAATCTCCTATCAATTTTCTGAAACTTCATCGTTCCGTCATTGCTATTACAATTACTTTTTGTTTACATTCCCGTTCCCTTCAGTCCAATCTCCCAAACCGTATGCTTTCAGGCATTTCATTCTTGATTAGTGTTACATACTACTTATGTCGACAGACATAAGTAGCATACACTACACTATTATCACGTATGATACTATCTTCGCTTATTATACCGGAATTTTTATAACTTGAGTCATAAATTAAGCCCAGTGACTAGTTTTTTATTGCTTATACCAATCTCGAACATGTAAAGTAAAGCTCGGTACGTAACAATAATTTTTAACTTTATTAATAAAATATGTAAATTAACACTCATAGAGTATTGATACGTAACAAAAATAAGTTTACCTTCCCGTAAGTAATTCATAAATAAGAATACCTAGTGACCAATAATCTGCTGAATTATCGTGTCCTTTATTTAAAATAATTTCCGGTGCGACATATTCAGGTGTGCCACAAAATGTCCAAGTCTTTTTACCATGTCCAACTCGTTTGGCGAATCCAAAGTCACACTAAAATAATTCATAACAGGTATATTTAGTAACGCATATTATATATAAAGTGTTTAATTTTCAATATATTTATCTCTGATTTATCCAAAGGATGAATGAAAAGGGTACCATGTCACAAACTGTAGTGTTTCTCTCTGTATTTTCTAGTATTCAACTTCGGAATAATATGTAACTCATTTGTAATAGTACGTAAGTACATATAGTTAGCACTCATGTTTATTGAGTTCAAAGAAAGCCAAGACCGGTAAGATAATATTATATCTTAATAAAATGATCAGTTAGAAGTTTCAAAGAATAAGTCTATATTTATCTGTTCACTAACGGTAGTTATTCATATACGACTGAGAATCTAGAATTCAAATAACAATCAATCTTATTATCTGGACAGTATACCTACAGAACAATAATACTTTTTAATTATATATCACTCGTATGAGCTTTATTAAATCATCTATCAAAAATGAAAAATATTTTCTTAAAGATAATGTCTAATTAATTAATAAGAGGAAACTTTAATGGTTATAGAAGCCTATATAGTTATTCAAAATTTAAAATCCAGTTATCTTCTTTTCTAAAGTACTATTTCAGAATTTCAATGGAAATATCAATATCTTCCAGGATCAGTGTGATTTATTTATTTATTTGAACACATAAATATTGGGACAAAGGGGCATCGAATACATATGCGCCACACCTCGTCATTCGATTTGTGTGTGAGCTGTGATACTCCCCGGGTGCCCAGACCAAAGCAGGTGGTTTCCTCAGGGGGCCATGCCCCGAGCCTTTGACCTACAGGTCTAATCCACAAGAGAGTAGTTAGTAGTTAGTAGACGCAGTCCCATGGTAGCTGGTGACCAATAATGGGTTCATACGCCATTTGTTCCTTCAGGATCCTGGAGTCCATGTGCATCATTGGTTTGGAATCAGAGTTTTCCAACTCCCTTAGGTTGATCCTTCATATCCACCAACCCGGTTTAAGCACCGAACATTCACGTTTCGTCCTTTCAGTTTTGTGACCAACACCCCCGCCGCGAGGATGAAGTGAGGAGAACTTCCCTGGCAGTGGTTATATGCATGTGGCCATGTGAGAGCATTTCGAGAGGGGAGAGCTAACTCTCCCCACCCTCGGTCGTGCCAGGGCATTTGTAAAAACAAAATGCAAAATATTCAAAACTACTTCATTTTACTGCACAGTTTGATATAACCTGGATAAATTAGTTAAAAATATTCTAAAACTGATTATTTATGTATTACATCACATAATTGGTCAGTTTATCGTACTATTAAATGGATTTTTGTAAAATATTAAGCAAGAAATGTATAGATTTTAAATTTTCGTAGGCAGGTTGACTCATCGTACAAGCTAGTGACTATCTGAATTCAGTAGCTAAATGGATAACGCGATAGCGATTGAAGCGAACAATACCGGGTTGAATTCCTGGAGTAAACATTATCTCTTGGATGCAGGTACATCCAGCTGACTAGTCCCAAATAGGACGAAATGCGCGTCCTGGATTCCACTGCTAGCCATCATTCATCTCTGCTTATTTGATTGATGTTTAACTATCAAATAAAATCATCTATTTTTTTCCCTACATTTAACACAAATGAAATCAATTTTATTTTAAATGATATTTATTAAATACTTTTGTTAAAAGAAAACTTTTTAGTTATTTGATTTTCCCTGCCAATTTACTACTCATTATTGATTTTCAGATGAAATTAATTGAACTAAAGAGACATACACATACACACTCAGACTCACAGAGGGAGAGAGGAAGAGAAAGAGCGTGAGATTGAGCTTATTCACTTACATTTTATATGTTTGTTTTTAAAGTTTATTATCTTCATTTTAAGATGAATGAAACAATTTTTAAGTCATTTTAATGAATTTATCTCTATTTATAGCATTATTATCATTATTACTATTATCATTTATACATAGAAAACAATTAAATTTGCATTAAATGTGATTTAACTGAAAGATATATGTGCGACAAATTGTGCAATGATCGATCAAATTAATAAGGAAGAAAATTGTGTCAAGATTATATAAGTTTACTAAAGTTTGACAGAGAAATTAGAAATTTTATCTCAGTCATAATTGATCATTATCACCAGGGGCATTAGGATTGATTTAATAGATAAAGATGTATAAAATAATTGAATACAAGATTGTTTTATAACAAGCATTATCATCAAAAATATACACTAAATAGTAACATCAAAGTATTAAAAAAAAGTGTTTGTCGGATATTCTGTTGTTTAATTATTTTAATTTTAATAACGGCGCCTAGATGATTAATTAATGCTTAGTTTCATTGGAAACCTAATTTAACTCATAGTATAAAGTTGGAAAGAATTTTACCAACTGATTAGTTCATTTGTATCCAAAAAGTACTGATCAAGTATAATCATCGGTTGATTAAATCTAAAGAGATTAAGATTACTGGTCGATTATTTTCTTCTATTCTGAAATGTTGTATAAGTATACACTCAAAATAGTCATCCAGATTGAACAAACTACTGTTCGACTGAATAAAAGTTACATTTTCCATTATAAAATAAATATTCTCAACTGTATTAAAATAAATGGGATGAACTTGATGTTGACTATTTACCAGACAGTGATTAATCTTTAGATAAACTCCTGATTAATTTAAGGGTCGGAGTATTATGTATATAGATCAATGCAACAAATTACATACGAATATTACTAACTAAGAAATCGATGAGACTATAATATATGAACGAACCAATGAGGTTTGAGACAGTAGGTGTTGAATTTTGGCACGAAACTCATCCATAAATATAACTAAATAACATTTTGGCATTATAGTTGATATCGGTTTATGGTGAAAACCCTAACTCTAATTCCTAACCTTAACCTCCAGCTTTAACTTATAACCTTGATTCTTCACAGTATCCTAGTGCGGGTTTATTCAGAAAGGTAATTATAAATAACAAAAATAGAAATAAAATGTAGTGAATCGTATAACCTCTAACATTTATGCATCGAATATCATTTCGGGTAAATATGTTATTAGCAAAAGCGAAAAGTAGCCCAATGTTCTAACAAGTATCAGTCTAATTTTAATTCGATTTGAAGATAAAATTTAAGAATTAGAAATAATCTTCAGGGGCTGATAGATTGGAATAAGTAATTTCCAAGATGCTCTTGGTGCCATTAAGTATAGCATTCCGTTGACGTCTACATAGATTATATCTACACATTGAGTTAGTGGTAGTTAATTAATTTGAACATTCAGATTTTAACCAACGGATTGTAAATTCAGAACTCGTTTCGCCTATATAAGTTTCGACAGATTAGTATTATCTGTAACCCACAAAAAACGATATGAGTCAGAACTAACTGCATTAATATATGTATGATAAGTTGGTTAAAATATAAACTAGTTTACCCCCATTATTATGGACTTTAAATTGAAAATAATCACCTTGCGGATTTCTAATTAACACTAAAATAAATATAGGAATTATCAATTTACTGATAAAACCTACTTTCATTAAATGATACAACATTACAAGTATGTTTATCCATTTCATTTAAGAATCACTTTGTTTACATTACCTATCCAATATTTTGATTTCGTCTTAATAATTTCTAATAATATTATAAATCGATTTGAATAGTGATACTAATTTATTCCAACTCTTGATCTGTCTGTTTATCCACTAGAATGATGACTTTTCTATGTGTCGCTCAATTTCGTGGATTAGTTGAAGTTAGACATTAACACCGTTGGATGCCGGCTCAGTGGTCTAGAGGTTACATGTCTGTGCGCGAGACCGATAGGTCGTGGGTTCGAATCTCGCGGGGCAGGATCGTGGATGCGCACTGCCGAGGAGTCCCATGCTAGAACGAAATGGTCGTCCAGTGCTACCAAGTTTTTTATGGTGGTCTAGCTTCAATTGACTCATGATCTCACCTATTGAAATTACTATAATATCCACAAAACTGCTTCTGATACTTTACTATTAGTTAAAATGTATCATCAAACTAAATACAGTATAAGATATATTCGGTAAAACTGATTATGAAAGTTAAGAAACAAAAATGTGACAATATTTACTACAATATTCATTTAATACATAAATTCAATTAAAAATGAATAACTTACTAATTTCACATAACCTTTATGGTCAAGAAGTAAATTTTCTGGTTTTAAATCTCTATATAATATGCCTTGTGTGTGTAAATAAGTGAACGCTTCCAAAACACAAGCAACCACAAAACGTGTCATAACATCATCAAATCGACCTCTTGAAGAGTTAAAAAAAACAGGAACCATTTTTTAAATTGTATGTTTATATATTTTAAATAGATTATCTTTAAGATAAATTGACAAAAATCCCTATTTCGTACATTTAGGCTAGATTTTATTAATTATCAACAAGGTTCTAGAAATTATTTGAACTCGATCCATAAAATGATGTAAATAGAGATGGTATGAGTAAGTTATTCAGCCTAGAACTATGCTTCTATGGGATTTGAATCATATGTTTGATTACAGTAATGTAAAACAGTAGAATTTCGTTAAAACTAGGAACTTGGTAATAATGACAATGATTACCTCTAGGAAACTGATTAATATAACAAGTCGTCTACGCAGGCATCAAGTGATGACAAAAAGACTGAGCAAAACGAAGATTTTATTCACAAAAGACTCGTTAATTGTACAGGATGACATAAACACCTTCATTTATTTTCCTAAACATATGATAACTTATTCACTTTATGTTCGATATAATCCAGTATTGGTATACTATCTACGTTTTATTCTTAGAGATAGTAACTAAGAGATTATGTTTACAATCGTAGAAAGACGTTCTATCTTGACCATTCTACCCCTAAAACGTAAATTCATATAATTTGCTTCAGTAATCAGTCCAGCTATAAGAGTAATCACCAGTTCTCATCGCCGTAGAAAGTAACATTCACTAAATAATCACTTGACAATAACTACTGTAATTCCACTATTATTAGTGTTAAGTAAAGTTGATTCATAAATAATATTGTATTGCACTAGCATCTCTCACTTGGTTCGTTAATTTGTCTTATTTATAAAATATAAGATACGAAAGTTGAGTGGGGATCCTAAAATAAGTATAAGAGTAATTATTATCACATGCTAACTAGTGGCTAATATCATGATGTAATTCCTAGAGTTCTGCTGAGCACCCATGACCAGAGTAGTCTAACTGTGTCAGGTGTGAGACACTTACCCACCAAAGACAATGGAATATCGTTGCATTATCCCGTGGATTAATTGAATTTAGACATGTAAACCATCAAGTGCCTGTTTAATGGTCTGACGACTAAACTGTTAATTTGGGAGATGAAGATTATAGATTCTATACCCGGTGGCTAGATCTTGGATCCACACTGTTCAGGAGTCCCATAATAGAATGAAGCAGCTATCCAGTGCTTCCTAGTCTCCAATATTTATCCAAGTTAGTTTGATTTTTAATCTCAATAACATTTTGAAACCAACAGAAAGACAGAAAACTTATTTTTCTTATTTGAAAGATACAGTAAATTGTTTTTATTTTTCTGAATATTATTTTGGATTAAACTCCATAAAAAATTTAGCACCATCGCTAAAAGAATGAAGTATTACGAACTGAAAAACAAACTAAGTAAAGCAAACCCTAATAACCTTCTTTTGAAATATTATTACTATTACTACTTTTTTGTCAATTAGACTCATCCAAGTATATTACCTCAAATGAATTATTGATAATTTACTTGACGAATAATCTACGTTAAACTTGGCAAAATGGTCAAAGTGAACACTGAATCAAAATGACCATAACACGCTTTATAAAATAATTATTGAGCTAAATAGAGTTTAATAATTGAATTCACGAGTTGAATAAAGCTAGATCACTATGGAAAACTTGGAAGCACTGGACGGCTGTTTCATCTTAGTATGAGACTTCTCAGCAGTGCGCATTCACGATCTCGCCCCACGAGATTCGAACCCATAATCTATCAGTCCCGCGAGCATCCAACGGTATTAATGTCTAACTTCAACCAATCCACGAATACAGTTAATAATCAACAGTCTAGAGAATCGTTGATTTGCAAAACAAATCTTTTTCCTTATTTTACGTTCATATGAAAGCGTAATCTTGAAAAACTATTTTCCAATGAGATCACATGTAGATGTATTAGAAATAGTAGTAATACCTTTACATAATACTAGAAATTTCTTTATAGTACATAATTTTCAGCATAATTTCTGCAATATTAAAATAAATATCTCTCTAACATATATTCAAATTGTACTTAGTCAAAACATTGTATACGTTTTTAATAGTCAGTATCTTTCATCAGTATTTAATTATTTATCGCTTCATTAGAAGATAATGAATTAATGAGGCGATAAATAGTGAATGAAATTTCTTCTTACAACTCAGATCCACTTAAACACAATACAAACAATCTATTATTTTAAAATAATTCTCGTTTCAAATCACATGTTTCATACACATTAAAGTAAATTCTTACTTTAAACAGTGTTAACATGATTGAATAACCTATTTAGTATACAGTTAACCAGAGAACCATATACTTATTTATATTTGATAATCTTGATATTTGATTATATTTCGTTGAAAAGCTTGAACCAGATTGTCAAGTGAAATGTTGGATGTATTTGGAATTCATTCTCTGAAATTTTACAAATACATTCTCCCTGCTTAATGTGTCACATCAACTCGGCACCTGAATGCTGTGAAACTATCTGACTAAATTTAGACAATAGTTCTTACATGAATTCGTTATTTCTGAACCTTTAATGGTAGATTACAATGATGATTTGTAATAATCTAAATACATTCCCATCTGTTCTGATACAAAAATTAATAAATATCTTATTTAACCTTCACCTACTTTTTTATCGCCTATTTTTCTCTTTGCATTTTGCATTATCAATTCAGTTAAAAGTAATCAGTTAGTTAATAATTGATTCTATCAAATAAATTTGTACTCTTGTTAATTATTAACACTGAATATTCTTTCTACAATGTTTTCATATATAACCTACTGTGAACTTTTCACATATCTAATTAATGACAGAACAACACTAGTCATAATCAGATGAATTATCAAATAAAAATTCTTTTAATCTAATATTAATTATACCGAGTTGAAATTCAACGGATCATATTTTCAGCATCAACTAATTTGTAATATAGAATCATCATCTAATGATATCGGTGGGTAACTACTACTGCCTCACTTTCGAAAAGATGATTGAGTTGACCTAGTATTAACTACCTTTTAATAACTTCTTATCTACAATCAACCCATGATGAAATCTAACTTCAAATGGACTACTATTTAACAAGATGTTAGAAATAAATGTGTATATACTCGTCGCTTGATCGCCGAATAGTCTGCTCTTTAGTGCTAATCTAATTCTATAGCCCATGTTTCAATGCGGCCAGTATTCTGAATGACGAAATATCACATGCTCTATATTTTAGTGTTAGATAGCTGTCATTCAGTAGGAAACCCTAAAAATAGGTTTTGTGTTCAGAAAAGTATGTCTGTAGTCTTGAGGGAACTGGTTTTTCCTATCTGATTCGAGCGTATATCACTTAGCCATACAGTTTGAGACATTATATAAAACCGCCTAACACCAGATATAATATATGCGGTGTAGAGTCATTCAGATTTATGGATACATTGCAACCCGATCAATAGAATGCAATCTGAACTAAGGGCTAATAAAAACCTACTACTGATTACTAATAGACTATATATATGTATTTGTATTTATATATAGTATTATCTGTTATAAAAGAGATATTAACTCATAAAGAAGACAAATTTAACAAAATATTTACTCACTTATTTCGTAAAACTGTCCATAATTCACCACCTAAACAAGCTTCCAACAGCATGTATACAAATTTATTATCTTTATATGTACAGTAAAGTCTAAAATAGTGAAAGTATAGGAAAACTATGAACAAAGATTAGAAACATTCAACATTGAAAATGTATGAATAACAAATATAAAATTGTGTATATCATATTGTAATATGTTATAAGAAAGCTTGTTTGTAATGTATGGGACAGTACTGAAACAGATTGATGTCATTAATAAATAACAATGCTAATCTATTATAACCTGTAATTTTTTACCAGTAGAAATCAACTGAATGAATAAATTCAATTTCCTGGACATTTTATTTTCGAAAATTTCCAGTAGTTCAGGAGCACTTTTAAACATTCTATTTCAAAGCTAAAACTAACTTATTAAATAGTAGAAAAAATAAAACTAAATGACACATTAAAACCTGAACAATCTAATCTCAGTAATTATTGATTCCAATAGTTGGAATCATGAGTCAATTGAAGCTAGACCACCATGTAAAACCTGGAAGCACTGGACGACTGTTTCTTCCTAGTATGGGACTCCTCGGCAGTGCGCATCCACGACCCCGCCCCCTGCACGAGATTCGAACCCAGGACCTAAACAAAATCCACTTGTAATATAACTTGGATTTGTTGTTTTATCTGTGATCATTAGTGAAGACGGTTCGGTTAGTGTTACTAAGTAAGATTCTGGAACAGAATTTTGAATTGATTTTATTGCTAAATGTTAGATTTGATTATATAGTTAAAAGATTATCAAGTTACTTCATACAATGAAACTAATCAAAAATGCCCAATTTTTAAAGACGTCATATCATTTGACACAACCCTTGTTATGTGAGCACTTTGACAAGTGGTAAGTAATCGATATTCAAGATGTTAGTTATGCCAAGTAATATGATCATTAAGCTACTTTTTTTGGCATTGGATATTCACAGACAATCAGCATATATTCCTGTATCTGCTTGGTAGATGTCAACAAATGACAAAATGTTTCTCCTGATAAAATCACAATCCTGACCGTGGATAAATCAAGTTAAAATTAATACATATCTTACTGTCTTGACTTATTGTTAACAGGCAGTGAAATACTGTACATTAACAAATAGTTCAGTCATCAATTATTTTCTTTACTTTAATATTAATGTATTTACCTCTAAAGGAATGATTTTTGTGTCATAATATTTTTTAAATGTTCTCTGCACAATTATAGTTAGTTTTTAATGTATTTTTCAAATACATCGTATCTGTCTGTATCAGTTCAACATGGAACATCATACTCAGAAAACTTTCAAAGACTATTTTTCTTTTAGTAAAGAAAGTAAGTTGTTTCTATCATTTATACCATATATATTTAAAACAAGAACTTCTAGTTATCATACACTTGGGTAGATTGGTCAATTACAGAAGAAAAATACTGGTACATTTTGATTCAAAACCAAGAGAGAAGCAGAATGTTAATTAATCATTACTTCATTTACTTAGTATGTTTTTTTCTCTTTCTCTAAACATAGCCCCTAGTTATTTCGTTATATTCTATACACACTGTCTTGATTTTAATTGAATTAATATGATTTTAGTTTAAATCTCAAAGGGAAATAGTTAGTATCTTGACCTTAGAAATAAATTATTAATTAAAATTTTCATTTTAATCCTCTAACTGAAAAATTGGATTTCAGAAAAATTAGTACATAAATTTTGTTGTCAACGTCTATATGAATTATTCTTAGACCAGTAATATTATTTTTGATTGACATGATAAATCGATTGGTGCTAGACCAACATTGAAAACCTGGAAGCACTGGAACGCCGTTTCGTCCCATTGTGGGACTCCTCAGCAGTGTGCATCCACGATCCCGCTCGCAGGATCCGAATCCAGGGCCTTCAGTCTCGCGCGCGAACGCTTAACCTACTGAACCACTGAGCCGGTATCCAACGGTGCCAGTCTAACCTCAAGCAATCTACGAATAATATTGTTATTAAAAATACATATATTAATGTGTTAATTATGTTCATTTTAAATTCCCAGGCTAAATATTCGGCTAATTGTTGTTTCAACTGAAACTAGCATAACCTAATGTTTTACTTTTCTATTCATCTGGTAGTTTCATAAAGTGTATTTTGAAATCTAATACTAGTTAGTATTATATCTTATTATTAGAGATGAATGACTGTAATAAATAGTTACAGTGTATTCCGCTGTATATATACATATTGTAAGTTGATAGGTGTTTTAAATTGCTGTGATATCTGTACGTTAAATGCTTCCTACACTGACTTCTTAGTTGATATCTACATTTCATGTACTCAACTCAAGTAAGAAGAAAGGAAATTATGTGACCTGAGATTTACTTTATAGTATGCGAATTGAATGACGTATAGGTTACAACTAGTAAACGTTTATTAAAATTTTAAGCAATTTACACAGTCATTATTAGGCTTGAACATTTGTGAAATAAAAAAAATAGTTTGGATCACTTAATTTCCATATCACAGTTTTAACCCTATGTCTGTTCAGAATCAATTCATCCCCACTTGCATAATGATCGATAAATGATGTGAGTGGTATGAAGCAAGGTTGATAACTATGGAATGACTTCTCATGTTTATCAACATTTTTAATCATGCTCATTTTCGAGCTAAACATTTTGTATATATAAGTGTCATTTTTCTAATTTGTTTCTGCCCAGTTTTTCTGTCTTGAGACAACCGTTTATTGAGACTTTAAGTCAATAAATCCGTTTTCAATAATAGCCATTACTCAGTTAATTCGTTAATATCACTTTAGGTGTAACCGATTGTAAATCTACAATCATATAGTTTTATACAATTACTATAAAAAACATTCGATTTGCGTTGAGTGCAAAATTATGTCTGTAGCTCTCATAAAGATACATCTAATATGCCGTCACTTTTAATTTCGAGAAAGTATGTTTTGTTATTTTGAAATGATACCATACATGGACGTACATAAATTGAATGAGTAAGAACCGAATGAAATGAATAAGAATTAACAACTATTGAATACATAACTTATAAAATTTATAGATCCATTGTTAAGAACATTCAAAACATTCAGTAGTTTTATTAAATCAACTAAAAATAAAAAAAGTGTTTATTTGAATAAATCATTTTCAGTAATGAATATACTGACTTCACTATATTAGATAGACTGTAATGATAGAAAATAACAAAACACTTACATTCAACTAATTAAACTGTCTAATACATTTTCTATTCAATAAATTATCAGTAATTTTCAGAGAAGTCATGTTATAACAGTTAGAAATAACCAGTTACACGGAGTAGTAATTATACGGACTAACAAATGGCAGATGGCACAAATGATAATTGAATGTCCAATGCCTTAACTATGTTTATAAATGCATACAATACACTGTTATTTTTTGTATTTTCAAAGTATGGGGAATATTTTATGATATAGTTATTAAATGAAATAAAATATTTCTTTCATATAAAACAGTAAACATTTTAAAATTAATGCGTCAATCCACAATTATTACTTGCAGTTGAACAAAAATTCTAACTGGGACCACCGAAATTATTGCAGTTTACCATTGTACACAATACATGATATTAGCTTGAAATCGATCAGAATGATAAAGTTACATTCATTCTTCATCTACAACAAAATCCATAGTTTCAATACTATCTCACAATTTACGTTTTCTGGTTTAATCATTGTTTCGTGAACTAGATTTTTTATGTTCCGTTTTCACTGTCATCGACATTATTTGATGACACTGTTAGCTTTGAATTTTTTAGTCTACATTCGTCGTACTAATATGAACAGAGGGATTTAGGAAGAATGTACATTTATATCACATCCTATACTACTGAAGTTAAAAGATTATTGATAAATATTAAAATAAGTCAATGTTATTTTTAAAAATGTTTTATTTATATTCTGGATGAAATTCTATAAGCTAGTTTTGAAAGGCCTAACATTCTACTTGAATAATGATCCAGTTTTAATTAGGTCATTTGCAAAAAATTACTCTCTGATAAACCAACACTATTTGATTGACTTCTATGACTGTAAAGTGGTCAGTATCGATTTTTATTTCAATAATTCAAACAAAACATATTTTTCAAGAGATATCAGTATAGGGGTTGTGGAGTTTATTATGTTTTTGATAATAATCTCCACAACCCTTATACTGATAATTAACATGTGCTCAATAGTAACTAGCTTCGTGAGGGAATTCTCGGAGTTCTAGTGAGAAGCCATGACCAGTGGAGCTAATTCGTGTCGGGTAGAGACAGGTATCTACCTAGTTACAATGGAAGATGGTCACGCAATTTCGTGAATTGGTTGAGGTTAGACATTAACACCATTGGATACCGGCTCAGTAGGTTAGGCGTTCGCGCGCAAGACTGAAGGCCCTGGGTTCGAATCCCGCGAGCGGGATCGTGGACACGGACTGCTGAGGAGTCCCACAATGGGACGAAACGGCCTTTCAGTGCTTCCAGGTTTTCAACGGTGGTCTAACATCAATCAGTTCATGATCTCAATCAAAAAAATTACAAAAGATAATTAGAGAACAAAAATTAAAAGATACTAACTATTAAACAAATGCTTATATTTACTTTATTGCAGAAATTCTCTAGTATAAACAAAATATGATAAAATTTCTCATAAATTAAAATTTATATTTACTTACCGACAAATAAATGGACATCGAAGCTCTAACATTATTTGTCTTTCTGAACAAATGTGCTCTTGTTGACGTGTATGGACAATATGCTGTTTTTTCATACGTTTTAATGCAAATGTTTTATTTCTGTTTTTTGTCCAAACAACCTTAATAAAATATAGTAAATAAAATATACTGTCTTGATAATTATATAATTAAATAGTCTATATACAGTGTGCGATTACTAGGGAAATTTCAAGTTATGTAATTTTTTTGTTATTTAATGTTAATCCATTTATTTGAAAGATAACCTCGATAACATTTTTCTGGTTCCTATTTCTATACTAACGTTTAATATTATCTAATTGATTGCTTTTACTGTTTGTTAATTTTATTATATTCCAATGTCATGTTTTGTTACTATGTATATAGAGTTGTTCTACCTCAAAAGTGTCTTCCTGAATATTACGTTTACTTAAATTTCCAGGTTCCTTCTGTATTTATTCGCCAATTTGAATTAATGCTGAAATGTTGTATATCAGTTGTGTGGTACCACCATTTCACAATTAATTCCGTTCGTAGTAGAATAATTATAACTATCTGTACTTATAAATTACCGTAGACCCAACTGAACCCAAATCTCAAGTCACAAGAGAAATGTAAGCATTTAACGAGGAAAAGAGTTTAAATGATATTCCAATACCATTATTTTATTTAGTCAAATGATTTTGTAGCTAAGACATGATTGGAAAATCACTTTAAAAGTTTAAAGTGTTCCAAAGTGTTTCGAACGAAACATATTTACGGTCTATCTAACTAAATTGAGCGCTTATTTTATGAATTGAATTTAAATGCTTGTGGATTGTCTCAATGGACTTTGGCCCATACTGGATTTCTTCTGTAATTCTACAGTGTTATATATGCTTTTTCATACACGAGACTGTTTACTCTATTTACTGAATGAACATCTATCAACCACACAGCAAATGGATCCTCTTTGCTTATGATTGACCACATTGGATCAGTCCGTGTTTTCAGTAATTAGAAACTAGATATGATGAGACTGAATACGATGTTGATCTATCTAGTGTAACGTGTTCAAAGTTATCCAAGTTATATTAGTGATCGTTTGAGGAAACATTTAATTGAGTATTTACATCAAAAAGATTGTCACATATGGTTTTATATGACAGAATTGATGAAAAATGCAACATTTAATTGAAATATAGCATCTTCAGAAGTACAAGGAGAATGATACAAAGGCATAGAAAGCAAAATGAATCTATGGTAAAATACTGATCTTCACGTACAATTAACAATAAGTTCTGAATAATATAATTTAGTGTTTTGCCTTGGACGCTCAAACAATGAACATACATGTTCAACACTTTATAAATGTACATAGTAAGTCAGAAAATAGAAATGTTGAATTTTATATACAAAATACGATACAATATTATCATAATAAATTTACCAATTCGACACATCCAAACCCTCCAACACCTAGAACTGTGATTCGTTCTAAATCATCTTTATCAATTTTAACTGACGAGAGCAAATCCTTTGATTCTATTTGTTCAACAGTTTGTGGAGTACTAACAATCTCTTCTTTACCTAAATACTCTTCTGATTGTTGATAATTTATTGATGTTATCCTGTAATGTAAGTAAAAACATACACTGCCTTATACGGGTACTTTATCATAAAAAATTAAGATAAATACGAAAGAAGCATTAGATAAATATGTGAGATTAGAGAAACTGGGCAAAAAAAACAATTAATTCTATTGATTAGGGTAAATCAATTAACGGTAATTATACAAATATCAAGGGAAATTAATATTTTATATTATTGACAGGATAATGAAGTAAATTTATTGTAAAGGTTGAGAGAAAATATGTTTTAATATGAAATAATCTATGAATAAAATGTGAATACTTCTTATTATGGTTCAGTAAATAATGATCTAGATGGATCAAGTAAGGTTTACTAATTTTGTTATTCAATCTCTACAGAAGTTTTATCGAATGTGCAATACAATCTGGTATGTAAGTATAGTAGATCAATTAAACCAACCTTCATTCATTAGTAATATATTGAACCGAATATGCGAGAATTTGGGTCCATTTAAACATTGTAAATACTCTTAAAATATTTCGCAAATTTCTCATTGTTCGAAGAAACAAATATCTAATCTCTAGAGATCAGCATAGAACTTTGGAGAGAGAATGAATGAATGACTATGGGTGGATGAACGATGTTTGATAAAAGTAGTGAACATTCTTTAAGCGTGAAATGATCAGTCAGATAGACATAATATGTAAATAGATATCGGCAGGTATGATAACTAATTGTGATGGAGGTTTGTCCTCTGAGCTGGATGGTTTGGTCATGGAGCTTTTATCGTTATTCTGAACGACATCATCAGCATAAACTTCAGGTAGAAGTGAAGTGTTCGAATTTCTCCATATATGGTTCACAGCTTGTCCTGTAGACCTCTATGTTTTTTGGTTATTGTTGACCCTAAACCTGTCATTGTTTACTTCTTTATTTTGGTTTTATCTTCCATTGGTTTGATTTTTGGTCCTATATTTGTCCATAATTCCTACGACCAAACCATCCAGCTCAGAGAGAAAAACTCCATCAAAATCATACATCCGAGCTGCAAATCTTCTCAATCATGACAACTAGTTAACGTTGGGAGCTAAATAGATCATCTAAAATCCAAAGGAAGCGTCAAACAGACGTTAAATCAAAAAACGGAATGAATAGACTTAATAAAATATAGTAAACATAAGAGTTATGATACAAAGATATGCAATAAAATACATATTAGAATGTTTTCAAAGGACAGCATAACACAGTTGTTTCGTCCTAGTAAGAAACTCCTTAGAAGTGAGCATTCACAACCCCACCATGATTTGAGCACAAGAAGTGTTCAATCTTAAAACCACTAGTTTAAATATCCAGTTCCAATTAAATCTCAATATTGTGAAACCATCTTATATGGTCTTCAATAGGTAACTGCCTTATACCATTATTATCTTACTAGATCTCATAACAAATATAAATCTAGTTAAGTCTAAAAACGGATTCCATTCATAATATTAGTATTTATCAGATAGAATTGTGTAAATTTTTCAAAATTATGAATCATAAAAAAAACTGGTCAGTCATGTAAAATTTTTATTAGAGAATAGAATATTTCTATAAAATTAACTACAGTCATTTAACATCAATTGTAATACATCATAATATTATGTCATTTAGATGAATGATGGTCTTTTACAAATAGATTGATAACATTCAATCAACAGATACTAACAATTAAACAAGATGGCAAAAGGATATTGGTTATCATTAAAAAAAGTAATCAATAAGCATTACATCAATTGCCAAGTTACATATGTTTACCTTTATTATTTTTTTAAAAAAAAAGAACATTCATTTAACCAATTTACCAAAATAACATTTAATATTATAGGATAGAAATAATTTTATTTACCCAGTAGATGAACGATTGATATCATCATACGTTTTAGATTTGAATTCATTTAAATCACCAATTAGATAAATAAAATTACTATAAAGAAAAGAAAGAAAAAAAAATAGGAGAAAGAAATTACTTCTCTTTGTTGTCTTTCTTTTAAAATAATTAAATAAAGGATTTTATTGGGTAATGGAAACACAGATTAGACACTAGAGATTAGTCGAATATGGAATTAGAAAGAACATTTTATTTGGTGTTATTAGTTGTATTTACTGGATTATTAATAGGTGATTATTCTAAACTAGAATTAATTTCAAGTGTAATTGTTGATGATTCGTTTTTTTTTAAATTTAGTCAATTAGCTAAATGCAGTAACAGTATAAGTAGTAACTCCGCCTGAAGCACCTCTGAGGCTACTACTTGTCCCAAGCCCGGATAAAAGAGAAGGGTTTGGCAAGGGGTTAGCAACACCATCCCGTAGAAAACTAACTCGCTAAAAAAACGTTAACCAGAAAACCATTTAAACTCTGTCCTGAGAGTTTGGTTTTCATTTAGATGAGTTATGACACAACATAGTGAAAGCTGAGATCCTTCGGAAGTCACGAGGCTGATGCCTCTTGTGACATCCAGAGCAACCATTAATTTAGGTAAATCGAATGTTCATGCAATGTGGTAAACCGGGAAAGTCATTCAAACTGCTGACGAAATGAAAAGATACAATCTGGAGGTGCTTGAAATCAGTGAAACGGATTGGATGCAGGTTGGACAACAAAGACTATCTTCAGGAGAGCTTCTGTTATACTCCAGTCATTAAGAAGAAAACGCCCCACATACACAAGGAGTTGAACTGACACATTACCCCGAGAAATGGAGACAGACATGAGAAGAATGAACAACAATAGGATAGAACTAGAAAGCAAGGCTCAGGACAGAGTGGGTTGGAGAATGGTGGTCGGTGGCCTATGCTCCATCGGGAGTAATAGGCGTAGGTAAATGAATAAGTATAAGTAGTAAAAATTCTGAATTTGTGGAGTAATAAAAAAATTATTTTTAGGATAATTAAGAAGCCTAGAATCAAAGGGATGGTTAAGAGTGAAAGCATGATCCTGAATCATATCACGCAAATTCTCTAATCGTTTATTATAATTATTGAGAGGACCCTAATCTAATAATATGCATCTATCTAGATGGCTCGGACCAATATTCAATGGCTTCACGCACATTTCAGTTTAGCGGCCCCTAGCTTTCTTTCAATCTACCTGTACACCCGCAAAAATTGTACGTCGAGGTAGGCACATTTTGTAAGAAGTAATTAATAAACAGTTGATTAGTAAAAGAAGATAATAAGTTAGCAGAAAATTTCTCAGAAATATCAATCTATCTTTTCCATATTGAACTAATCTAGATGTACAAACTTCCTTAGAGTTTTACATAAAAACATAGTAATAAATTTGGGGATTATTTCATTAAGATTTAACTTTAAGTAATATTCTATTAAATAATTCATAGAGATCATAATAACATTTAAAACTTAAAGCTAATAAGCGTACGCTATAAAGTTAAAGTAGTACTTTTTCCCATAATATTTATATATGTAATATTTCATTAATTCACTTCACTTTGATACCTTTCAAAAGAGTGTTAGAATAACAGATGAAGTTTAGTCAGACCTCACATAATGACAGGGATTAAGATTAAGAAAAACATATTGGATTATTATGGTTTAACAGTAGTATTTAGATAATCATCAACAAACTACTGTTTATTTACATTTTAGTCACTCAGTATTAGTAAAGATATGGGATAATAGCATAAAGAATGTCAGTTTAATTTTAATGTGGATGATAGTAAGATTTTGCAATACAACCGACAAAATGTAAAACTTGGTAATTTAGTGTTTAATAATATCCACCAGGATGACTGACATAAGATGGTTACACAATAACATGATTTGCGAAATCTTCGTACAGTATATATACATAATGACCAAAAAGAGTTTCTATAAACTTATATTTACCTCCTATCCAATGAGAGTAAATGTACACCACCTTCAGCAGATATTACATTGGCGCTTCGTTTTTCACATCTAAAAACATAAAATTATATTCATCATTAACTGTCATACTTGCAATATAGATATCGTCTATTAGTTAGATAATTTTATGACGTATGTCAATACAATTTATTTGTTTTGTCACGATCAAGGAGAATAGTAGATTAAAGATGTTGGTGATAGAATTCTTTAATGATATATCAATTTCCAACTTCAGTACGTATTTAAAAAGAGAAAGACATTTCAGATGCTGTGATTGAACTAATAACTAGTGACTTTTTGTATTTGAACTAAAAAGTATGGGTGTTTTATGTAGTAGAAAATAGCTATTGGAAATGATATATGCTACTATTTGATATTATTTGCTTTCAACTACTCATAATGTCTACTAGTATAAAACATAGGAGGTTTTATTTAAAGTCATACCACTAAAGGTATATATTAATATAAATGTTTTAATTTGATAAATGCTATTATTATATATACTTTAACTCATTTACCGAATAAAATTTAATGTATCCAGCTTTCAGTGATACTTTGTGTCTCCGAGTTTATGATGGTACCAATGTGTCTAAATCGAAAGATTTAAAGCACGGCTTGAACATGGTTAAGATCTAAGTCCTCTAACTACTACACGGTTTCTGTATTTTTCAATGAAGATTTTTCCTGTCTAATTCAGGAATCAAACTCATGAATTAATTGCATATAACATAAACATTAGTGACATAAATCGTTTTAATGGTTCAAATATAAAAAAATGATTAATCGGGAAATGTAAATCAAGTTTTAGAGTTCTAATAATTCATCAAGTGGTATATATATGTAGTTGAATTCATGAGTCATTTGGAGCTAGAGCACCATGGAAAACCTGGAAGCACTGGACGGCCGTTTCGTCCTAGTATGGGACTCCTCAGCAGTACGCAGCCATGATCCTGCCCCGTGAGATTCGAGCTCAGAACCTATCGGTTTCGTTCACGAACGCTTAACCTCTAGAGCACTGAGCTGGCATCCAACAGTGTTAATATATATATATTCTTTGATTGATGAAAATGGAACTTAGAACAGTATTTGATATGTATACAAAATAATTTTATTTGTGCATATAATACATGTTTTATTAACCACTTCCCTTATTTTCAATTGTATTTATTAAATATCTGATCGTTCTAAATCAATTATTATCATATACTTAATCTCCATACTTGTAACTTTTGTTTCAGTACATTATAAAGGACTTAGACTCAGTAAATGTATCCTTATCTTAATTTTATATGTGCTGACTTCGTGATGAGATCTTATTCACTCATTTTATTGTTTATTTATATTTAGCTTATTTTACTTTAATGCTATTATTCATTCTTTTTCTATTGTATAAAATTACGTTGAATATTTGATGTTCATTTGATGAATTTTCTACTAGGTAACAATACAGTTGAGTTTTGGATTTAATTTCGTTTTGCTTATTTTGTCCAATTTCACTTAAATTAAACAATTTGTTTATGTATCACTTTATCTGATTTCAATAACAATCGAAAATTAGTTTTCACTTGTATAATAATTAAAATGATAAGTTTCATTGAAGGAATAAACTCACGTGTATAATGCTCTTTCTCCAAACCAATCTCCATCTGATAGTTGACGAATTTCTTTTGTTTCATCAGTTCTATCAATTGTATGTGTAACACGTACCTAATTCATATAAAATAATAATGAAGAAATAAAGTTAATTTAGTTCAACTGGTGTCTTGTAAAATTATAATAGAAAGAAAATTATGAATTTTTCGTATTTCTAATCAAAGTAATCAGGACAAACTTAATGAAATGAAATATTTCTATGTAATTTTTAAAAAAATTTAATAGTTAAATTCATGAGTTAAGTGAAGCTAGACCACCATGGGAAACCTGGAAGTACTGGACGACCTTTTCGTTTCAGTATGGAACTCCTCAGCAGTGCACATCCTTGATCCTGCTCAGCGAGATTCGAACCCAGGACCTATCTGTCTAACTTCAACCATTTCAATGCTTCCAGGTTTTCCATAGTGGTCTAGCTTCAATTGACTTATGAATTCAACTATTAAATTACTAAAATCTCCACAAAACCCTCTTCTGATAAAAAAATTTTTCAAGTACCATTATCATCAATGTACTCCTGAATTAGTCTAGTTACATTTAATTATTAAGGTATTTTCCATAAATTCACACATACTTTTAATTTTCTAGTTAAATAATAATTACAGTATTCAATAAGAAAAATTTCTAAATTTTATTATTGGTGCAAAAAATTTTACTGAAAATAAATTATTTTATTAGTCAATTAAGGAATCTAATAAATGATAGTTTAAGTTTAATTCATGTATATTGGATGTTTGGATGTTCTCGTTGATGTTTAGGATTATAATTGATCAGTCTCTTATTAGCATCCTGTGCAGATTGTCTAGATATTGCCTTAAGTCATAAGAATTATAAGCAGAAATGGATGGTGGATTTATTGGCAGTATTAAGGCTGTCCACAGAGGATGCATATATACCAAAATAAGACTAGTCAAGTGAAATCCTAAACATCAATAGAAACATACAAACAACTAATAAATGTGACTTAAATTTAAAGATCACAACATTGTACAAGCTAGTGGCTGTCTGAACTCAGTAGCTAAGTGGAGTGAAACGCCTGTTCTGAATTCTACAGCTAACCGTCATTGATCTTTGCTTAGAATTGTAATTTAGTCTATGAAAATAAAAGTTATTTCTTAGGTTTATTTTATATTTTGTAAATTATGGGATCATCTGTGAATTTTCTCTCAAATTTGTTTCCTTTCATACATGAGCATTAAAACTAGAATTATATTTTATGTTTAAGAAAGATAGTGTTTATACTTTAATTGTAATTTAAATTGACGAAAATATTCTTACAGTTTGTTATAAATTTCAACTTTTTTGGATACCATATTTGATAGTTAAAATTTGCGGTTATTTTCAATAAATTATAATAATTATTTTTAAAGACTTTTAATTTATTTTTACCATAATACAATGAATATACATAACTACTATACTACTAATCATCCGTCAAAATATTTTGTTAATTCCTTCTCTTGTTTTTATATATTATGCAACGTAGCAACTACTTGATTTTCGAATAATTACTTTGATTATTATTAATCTACTTTATTTAAATTACTCAATGTTAATTTATAATTGATATGTCATTATATAATTATTACGTAACGTATCTACTCGATGAGTATTATTTCATTATTTTAAATCATATATATATTACTGTAGAGCCATGATGAGAAGAAATTTCTTTGCTCGATGAGTTCCTTCTTTATTAACCGAATATACAGTTGATTTGTGAATATGAAGCAATTAACTAATATAGTCAAAATTGATGGATATAAATAAACTACCGTATAGTTTATTTTAATTAAATTAAAAATTAATGTTGATCAATCGTTTTCTATCTAACTTGTATTGGTTTAATTAAGAGTATACAGTTAAAATCATTGTAATTTATTAAATAAGTAAGTAGGTTCAAACACTCGTTGCCAAATCATATTTTATATGTTTAATGGATTATGATATTACTATTATCAGATTGTTTAGATGAAGTAGGATTTGATTGAGGAACTCAATAATTTAGAAGTTAATTACTTTAATCAGTAACCTGATAATTCTATGCAGTTATACAGTTATTTCTTTTTCTCAGTTTGTGTATCTATAGTCAAATGAAAATAAACATATTTTAAACTTTACTGACATCACTAACAGTTTATGAAAATCATATTTTATTCGTCCTCATTGACCGTGTAAAAAGTATACTGGATATTTGTAATACTTGATTACTAAAGACATTAATAATGCATTTATACAATGATTAGATATTTTTTATTGCCTGTTATAGGTTTTCTTCTTAGCTAAATTCTAGTTTTTTTTTCTTGCAACACAATAGAATATATATATCCTTGAGGGTTTGAAAAAGATATATATCTAGGTATATACAAACCATATGACAATGACCACATATTGTTACTGCCGTATTTTATTAATAAAAAAGATAAGAAAATATAAAATCATAAAGTCTGATTTTATTTTTACTTTGCTTCTATTTAAGAACAGATAAATGATATGAAAAGTGTATATTTTCAACTGATAAGTATCAGCCCGTCATCCCCATTTCAAAAGGTAGTAGCTATTCGGACGCAGTAACTAGACAGATAAAGCGATGAAGTCTTAAGAGAATGATTCTAGGTTTGAGCCCCGGAGTGAACACCAATTTGGATGCAGGTACATACAACTGACAAGTCCCAAATAGGACGAAATATGAGTCCTGGATTTCGCTGCTAGCCACCATCCATTTCTGCTTATAATGCTTGTGATTTAAGACGATATTGAGGCAATCTGCACAGAGTGTGCACACGCCAATAAGAGATTGATTAATTGCAGTCGTAAACATCACTAGGAAGATTCAGACAAGCAATATAAAAATGGATAATTATCAGCAGTCTGAATATTCTTTGAAATAGAAAATAATTCATCAAGTTAACATTTAAAAATAATTAAGTCAATAACATGCTGAGCGATAATAAATCAGCGATGATGATGACCAAACGTATGAAAAGATTCAAACTATTATCTTCCAGACATCATATTCAATGTCTTATCGTTTAATCTATGTAATCCTACTGTTATGAAAATATAAACTGAATTACAGTCATCTGTTATTTGAGTGTAAAACATGCAACTTATTAATGGATTCAATCACACTCTAACATCCTAGTCAAGTCTAATTTCAATTCTAGTTGAATGAAATACGTGAAACGCATTTGATTATTTGATAATAATGTTGCAAATTTCAGCCATCATCTTTGAACAGTAAATAAACAACATAGAACCTAACATAAATATATACACTTGCCCCATATTATGGCGCCTTACATCAATTTGATAAGAGAACATTAACAAGGCACAAAAAATGAGTTAATAAGTAATATCAACCCTATTGGAAAATTAAACATTGTGAGTATAGTTTAAGAGCAAATGTAATCAGAGAATGAAAACGTATAGGATAACATGAAAGTTGAAGTTTTATAGGAAGATCAGAAGAAACGGATGCGTTTGCGTTACTGGTAGAGTTTTCGAGTCTTTGCACTTCAGAGATTTTACCGAACATGAGATCCTAGCTAGCTAGCATTATGTGACAAGTCTCATTAATTCCCAATGACTTTGTACATTATTATTATGTTTGGCCTGACCGATTATGATTTTTTGAAAACTAGTTTCTTTACACTTCCAGTTTAAATACGTATGGATTTTACGGAGTGAAGGGTTTCTCAGTGAGACTGTAATTTATGAACGATCTTTAAGCAAAGTTAAGATGACCTTAAAATTGTCCACCTACTTGCTAGGGTTAAATGAAGGTTATAAATTAGTGCGATGAATTAGAATTAGGATTTACAATTGAACGTTAGAATTAGAAATTAGATTCAATATTTTCATCACGAACTGACATCAGTTATAATGTCGTAGTGGTATTTATTCAAATGAAAGAGTGAAATTCGCGCCGAAATCCAAGATCAGCCATCTTAAATCTGATTAGGTCGTTCATAAATTATAATCTCGCCGTAGGATACATTAAAAAGTCTAAAAGTAAACTACATTTGCCATACAAAATAAATTGCTTTTATTTAAAGCTTGATTAAGGTAATATCAATTGATTTATTTAACCTGGTAATGACATAGAAAATTTCCTAACACTTAGAATGTCTTGTTTACAAATTAACAATGACACATATCATGTAACATTTTGTCTAAACTCATATTTGACTCAGTTAAACAGTTCAACACAGTCACATGACCAATTCAAAGGTAAACCTTAAAGGTAGATATAGTTTCGATTGAAAACTAGCTTATGAATCCAATCTTTGCTTATCCGTTTTTTTTTGTCTTTTTATCAATACACTTAATGCGAATAAGTTAGCAACAACAAAAAGTTGTTTTTTTCAGTTCTAGTGATTATCTTTTTAAGACTAAAATTAATAAATTAGATCAAGGGTATAATCGATTTAAATCTCGGATCAATATACTTCAAAACTGTGTAAATATTACAGTAAATTCAATTCCTTAGATTTATTTTATTTGATTAATTATGGATTATCATAGTATATACTAATATTGATGATGATTGATTAACTGATTGGACTCATGTACTTTCATAAGCAGCTTACAACTTATCATACATTCACTATAGTTTGATTTTTTGGTATTAAAATGTTAAATGAATGAATAATGTGAATATGTTATTAATATTTACAGAAGTTGTGCTTAGACATCTTTACCTTGATCAAAAGTATTGTATTAAGTAATGGGATTATTACTTTTTTTAAAGGAAATACTATTTTTGATGTATTTTGCGTAATAGCAATATCATTTATCGACTTAGTATTAAAAAACATTGAAAACGGCTTTATTTTATATCTTCACTTAATTTGTAATTTACATATCTCAAGCATAAATATACAACAGGAGTACAAAGATGAGTCTCCAAAAATTAGATTTACAAGAAGTAGAATAATGTTTAATAATTGTTGTTATTCGAGTATAAAGTTATATATCTCACATAAAAAGAAATAGACTTATCCTTTGCATACTGTAGCCTATATACAGCATGAATTATGACCAAATAAATGTATCTTTGTAAGCAATGATGGATAGCGGCTAGCATTGGAATCCAGGATCCGCGTTTCGTCCTATTTGGAACTCGTCAGCTGGACGTACCTGCATCTCAGAGTTGATGTTCACTCCGTGACTCGAACCCAGTATCGTTCGCTTCAAACGCCATTGTTTTATCCACTCAGCTACTGAGTCCTGATAGCCACTTGCTTGTGCAATGAGGTGAATTTAAATTCACTTGGTATTGTTTGGCTTGTATCTTCCCATTGAGGTTTAAGACTGCAATTGATCAGTCTGTTATTGGCATATGTGCATACTGTGCGTATGCATACACTGATCAATTGCAGTCTTAAACCTCAATGGGAAGATACAAGCCAAACAATACCAAGTGAAATAAACGTATCGTTTTGTATTTAGATTATGAACTGATCAGTGTTAGACCACCATTAAAAACCCGAAAACATTGAACGGCTATTTAGTGATAGTATGAGACTCTTCGTCATTGCGCATCCATGATCCCGCTCCAGTAAAACAACTTTTAGTAAAAAACTAGTTAGTCGATTTAGGTTTAAACACTTTTTGTAACTAATGTCTGTGAAATACTACTTTATTTTCCTATCTTTTCCAACTATTTTCTTTTTAACTCTGGGTTATTTCCAAAAAGTAGGTTTAAATTTATTTTGAAAATTAACGTCCAGAGGTGTTTTTTTTCATGAAATCTCCAGTATGAATCTGAAACAATTGAGAATAAATAGTGCTATGTATTTCCAGTTATTATAACCCTTTTTCTAAGAAAAGTAAGTTAATATATCTGAAATAGATCCTAAAACAATATAGAATTATATTATTTTGTTAATAAGCTAACAGATTTCGAAATGTTTTGATTCGAATAAAAAAAGTAAATTTCCATTTACCGTTTTTAAAGATTAGGTAGCGTCTATTGTGGTACTTTTTTCTTGATATCTTGGTACAATGTCAAGCCGATATAGCTTATTCTAGCCTCTGGACAGATCAATCTATTCATCTTTCTCAAGCCATATTTTTACTCCATCACTCACTTATCAACCTTGACTGTTTTTATGTAAGCATGTGTGTGCATTTCTTATTTGACTCATCACATGTCTGTAACTTACTTTTGTTTGACTATAAATATCGAGTTATGCTTGGTTAAAACGAGTTAGCTCACATGCCTTCTCCACTGCGCATCATTCCGTTTTGGTTCGCTCTCTCCTCTTCGCTTCTTTTCTATGATCATTTGTCTGAATCAACGATTGTATGAAATTTACATATTCGAAATCCATTCTCGTATATGAGTTATTTAATTCCATTATTCACTAACGCGACTTAAGTCGTTGATTATATACGAGGGTAGCTATGATGTATATTTCGACATCAATCATTCGATAACGATCATTTTTCCGATCTAACTGGAGTCAGATATAGGGCCATTAAAATCCAAACAACATAAAACTATCTAATAATTCTGCAGAAATAGAACATTTACTAGTCCAGCCAACAATATCGCTTCATACCATATTCAACAACCATCAATTAAGGTATCAGATATATCCAGATATTTCAAAAATGGGTTTCTCTAATTATAAAGGTAGATATGAAGCTAAAGCACTTCATATATCGTTAAATCTCGTTGCTCTTAAAATAAAAAAAGTTTAACTAAGTAACCAACTTAGAAAATTCTCATCCTCATATTATGCCTGTTTAACAACATACTAGAAAAAACACGTACAAATTAACTTATTCAATCACACAACAACTATCACATTTAATCCCACTCACTTACATATAGATACATGAATTTATGCATTGAAATAGACTCGTCTATGATATAAATGACCTGATCAAACTTGCCTTCATCTTCAAACTTTTCATGTTGATTGATTCCGTGAACTAATTAAGTTCAAGTTAGCTTAAATGAAATAAACTATTTATTCTCTAAAAAACCAACTGAAACAAAGTCTCGGAAATTGGATGTGATAACTATATTAGTACTTATTTTTTATTATTACACTTCAGTATTTTTCACTTTTACTGACCTGGAAATAGTTCATTTTAGATACAAATTTCATGCATTTATTAACATAGATATGAAATTCCATGTACAAATAAATGTAGACTTACTTTACCAGATTTAATTATGAAAAATGTTTCACCAAGTTCTCCTTCACGTATTATATATTCACCAGTTTCATAAAACACCTTTATTTACAAAACAAAAAAAATGGAATTAATAATGAAATAAATGTAAGAGGAATTTAACAGAGAGAGAAAATATGAAATCTACATTGAAAAGTTTTCTTTATAATACATATATGTATCAGAAGGGGTTTTGTGGAGATTGTAGTAATTTCAATAGTTGAGATTATGAGTTCAACTGGGTCTGTTATGAGATAGTAATTCACTGCTGACAATAGTGGATGTGTTGCTCAATTTCGTGAATTATTTGAAGTTAGACGTTAACACCGTTGTATGCCGGTCCAGTGGTCTCGCGCGCGAGCGCAAGGCTGGTAGGTCCTGGGTTCGAATCTCGCAAGGCGGAGTCGTGGACGCGCATTGCTGAGGAGTCCCACGATGGGACGAAACGGCCGTCCAGCGCTTCCAGGTTCTCTATGGTGATCTAGATTCAAATGACTCATGATCTCAACTATTGAAAATATACATGTATATATATATATATCCCGACCGTTGTTGCTACCTTGACGTGGGAGTCGGGCTTGCCTATCGTGATGGACCAGTCGAGCTATACTGGCTGGAACAACCGTTCCTCAAGGTCCTACTATACCAGACAGGTCGGTTGAAGAGGGGTACGACTGAAAGCAGCAAACCCAAGGTCTGAGGGCGAATTCGTACTGCTGACTGTACAGAGGTGTGGCAGAAGTAAGGTGTTTCCTTCAGACAACCAGCATAGCAGCGATGCTGCCTTCCTACAAGGAGGGGTGGGGTTGGAAAAGGTCGACCCTAAAATGCACACCTCGCCTTATCCCACGGATATCCGTCTCCGGCAGTAAGGTCTCAACAAGTACGGAGTTAACACAAAAATTACCCATAAAAAGGTCGTGTGTGACCGACTTCAGGCAGTTGTCCCTTGGGCACTGCGGTCACGCTCTCAGGTCACTAAGACCACCTCTAATCCAATTTCCTTTTCAGGTACCTCTAGAAGAACCCTTCCACGGTGTGGGCATCCGGGAAGTGATAACCGCCCTCATACTTCTAACAGCACTCAAGACCACTGTATTCATAACCAACCTCCGTCTTCTCACTTTTTTCATATATATATCACTTCATTTTTAAAAGTAGTTACATGATGAAGCATTTATTAATACAGATAGAGAACAACTGTTATACAATAAGTAGTGTCGTTTAAAAAGCATAATATATTTTCAAATGGGACAGAATAGTAAATATTTTAAAGAAAATTCGATTTGATAAATATGTAGTTTGTGAAAAAAAATCCCATAATTTCTTTAAGTTGCCGTATTTATACTTTCATGAGATAATCGATTTTAGGATTTTTCTTTAAAAAAAGGATAAAGAATTTGTAGTACTATACCGTACAGATTTACACAAAACGAAGCAAATACACTTTTTTTTAAAAAAACATTTTCATAAGACTACTAAATCTTGTTTCAATCTAAAGCATTATAGGATAACATAATATAAAATCTTCTAAAGGCATTTGATTTTCTACTTGAATATCATCACTAATAGAACAAAGATGGTTGAACTGGTAATACTAGCATGTTTAACCAATATCAATCATGCAACTGGTTCCGTTTATGAGTTTGAATAAAGGCAGAACAACAATTGACGCTGCCTCATTTGTTATTCTGGCCTTATTCAAATATCGATTAGTTATTATAAATGAATAAATATTTGCCTTTTCAATGATTCAAATTTGTTCTAATCACAGAATATATTTAAAGATTATTGTTATTATTATTATCAAGTCATCTAGGTGTAATTCTTTAACAATTTTAATCATTGCTTACAACACCCTGACGGTATCTCAAAATACTAGTACTTTCTTGTGTACTGGCGAAACTGATGGCATAATTAATATTATCCTCATCCTAGAGTGATTCTTTGTATGTAGATCAATAATCGGTGACTTATAATTTAATTTAACGCTCCGACTAAACAACTTGATATGGTATTTATACAATCGATTTTCTGTATATGGATTAACATGCTTATGAACAAAAATAACTAGTAAAAGGCTTATAATTAACTAATGTATCTTCTGTGTTATAACATTAAGTGCATAATAACAAATAGGAACACCAATGATTCTTACTCGATCTGCGTATAATCTTTATTTAGTAGATATTAATATATGAGAAATATGGAATATAGCACTAATAAAACAGAGCCTCTAACTGATAGCTTCAAAACAATTTAAAATCAAGTATAGTGGACCATGATGTTATGTTAATCAGCTTGAATAATATCAAGAAAAGTAAATGACTAAATAATAAATTTAATTATGTTACAAATGGTGAACTAAAATAGCATTTTTACCTATTTACACCTTTAGATTGGAATGTTATTTAATTGATGTAAAATAAAACATAGTGGTTAGTAATTATGGCAATAATAACTAGTATTATCAATATTATTACTAACATTATAATTTAAACTTACTGGTTCTAAGACGTCAGCCAGCTTTTTCATCTTCTCTGAGGATAGATCTTTCAATGCAGGGACACTATATTAATGAAGGAAAAGCGTTAGTCAAAGTAAATAAGCAAATTTGACTAATTGAACTACAACAAGACTGAAATTACTTTGAATATGCAGTAGAAAATTAATTTGTACTCATTTCTACATAAAACGTAGAATATACACTGTTACTGGTTTATTGGTAACTTTCAATACAAATTAACATTGACCGAATAATCCAACAACAACAAAAAACATATATGACCCACACTATCACATTTTCACTGTTCCTTATAAAACAGAATATATAAACTATCATGGTCACTTTTAGTGTACCATAGTTTTCAATTATATAATCAGAGCTAGGTAAGATTACTGTATACATTATAAACTTGATTTGAATTTATGAATATAGAAACTGATGAGAACTTATTGAGAAAGATATTCTTTGTTCATATATCAATGTTTTATTCTAATGGGTATTTTTTTATAATCAACATAGAGAAATCAAAATCTTAACATGAAATATTTAACAAATCATTAGTTTAGTCTTGGTTTGATCTTTCACTGAAGTTTTCCAAAATATTTTCAAGTAAATACATGGGTGGTGAATATCTGTTTGTCTGTTGAGTTTTTATTTCAACATTAAACAGAATTTTTCAACTATATACAATGAAAAAACATGTTAGAAATATTGATATAATAGTAGCTAAAAGTACACACCTTCATATCCTGTTGTTATCTAAACCTATCAAAAAACGTTTCATTGTTAGATTAGATTACATCACTAATCTAATAGTGAATAGGGGAGGTCTGTCAATTATAGATCTATCATAAATCTTAATCTAATGTATAAAATGACATGTATATTTGAGTAGTCAGTGCGGTTGTTTACCACTGTAGGTCAATACAAACAATTACCACGTTCATTGAAATATTCACCACCTTACCTTAATAATTTTTTTTATAAAATTCAACCCTTTTATTTAGAATAAGTAGATTTTATTTGATGTTACTGAGTTATTTGTCATTTAACAAACTTTTGAAGAGCATGGTAATCTGATCTTTTCAGTAGTAGAAACTGTTCAAATTTAGTGTTATTGCACTGTGTTTGTCTATTGTTTTCTACACTTATACCATACAGCTGACGAGAACCAACGAAATAAAATGAATTCATGCTGTTCCGCTAGAATCTTTATTCTTGCTCTTTTAAACGATAACTTTTTAAAAAGTATGAATTCTAACAACATCGGATGGTATCAGCTTATTTGAGACTGAACATACTGAATATTTTAATATTTGAATTTATGAGTCGATATAGTCAAGACCATCATGGAAAAACTTGGAAGCATTGGATGGTTATCTCGTCCTAGTATGGAACTTCCTATCAGTGCGCATCAACGATCCTGCACGCGGCACTCGAAATCCAGGAGCTTCAGTCTCGCATGCGAACACTTAACCTCTACACAACTGAGCTGTCTAACTTCAATCGATCCATGATCTTGCACAACCCTTCATCGATTGTCTGGAGTGGATAACTGTCTCCAACCGACACGGATTAGACCCCTCCATTCTGATAATTTTAAATATTATCATAAAATGAGAAGTCAACTATCGTTTGCCTTTGCAGAAATCATAATTAGTTAATATCAACACTGATTACTTTAAATATGTCCAATATATACACGTTACTGGTGTATAAGTTCACTTTCTAAAAAATCATGGGAAATTTTATAATTCGTAATTATAATTATTCTAAATTAATTACTGAACTGTGTATTCAAACTGTCTAGTGCACTGATTTTAATGTTTTTACAAATTCAATGTTATTTGCAATGGGAAAACTCCTTTAATCCTTAAGTGGTCTTGATCATTTTTGTTAAACAAATAATCTATCCTGGGTTTGTCACATAACTACTAATATAAGTAATGTATGAGCATTGAAATGTTCAAAATCCTTTATTAACACTCATTGTAGGGATGGGATATACATTGCGAAAATGATAAAACAGCATCACGAGTCAATCCCTAACTTGGAATCCTGAAGGGAAAAGAAAAAGAGAATAACCAAGGAACATAATGTGTCAAGAGTTGGATATCGACATGAAAAGAATGATTAGCAACTAGAAACAACTGGAATGGATTTCTCAGGACAGAGTTAGATGGATAATGCTGTTGGGCGTCCTATGTTACTTCACCAGAGTTAACAGACGTAAGTAAGTACTGTAGGGATTTTAATAATCTATAACTATACGAAATAGAATAAACCAAAACGATCATTTCTCATATAAGGAATAACATTAAGTCACAGTGAGTCAGCTAAGATCTCCTCATTTAACCAAAAATAATGTTTTTCCTTAGAGTTATTTAGTTTAATAACTAGACAACATATAGATAGTAGAATAAATAATATTTGTTACATTTAATCAGATAAAAATAATTAATTCCCATAACGTCCACAATATTTCTAATAATAATAATAATAATAATAATAATTTGGGTGTTACTACCAAGTTTCAAATGTTTTCAAAAAAAAAAATAAGAACTCTTACTAGTATAAATTCAAAATAGTCTAGTTGAATAGATTTCATTTTCCATGATTATTTTTAACCAAATGACTTATGTGGCTTATATTATTTTCGATACCCCTTTGTAACAATATTTATATGTTCAAATAAATAATCAAATAAAGTTTTAAACAAACACCTCTCTTCATTGAATTATCTTTCATACCTTATATTGTTTGAATTATTTTTTCTGGTTAGCGTATTGTTTAGTGAGTCAGTTTTCTACGGGATGGGGTGGCTAACCCCATGTTCAACCCTCCTCCTTTACCCGGGCTTGGGACCGACAGTAACTCTAGAACAGCTACAGGCGGAGTAACAGGCGTAAATAAGTAAGTACCTTATACTGTACTGTCTTATAAAAACATTGATAAATGAAAACATATTCCAAGATGAAATAAAATGAAAATTTTCTTTTAAAAAATATGTACTTTATTTCTACAAGTGAAATGAATATTTTACTACATTATTTTCTTGTTAAACATTAATTCAATTGGAAGGTAGCTATTTATTTAGTCAAGAAAATTTTAAAAAATTTTTTCGAAATATCATACACTTTATATATATAAAGTATAGGGAAAAAAGTAATCTACAAAGTCAAAGGAACTGGATCGAAAGGGGTTCGAATCAATATTTTATGCACTGCTGAGGTATTGGAAATCCATGAACTCAAGCCCGAACTTTGCGTGCAGAAACGATTTGTTCAACCTCTCATCCTTCCTTGGCCTTAATTCCTTTAATGGGTATGTTTCGAGGTTGTGCTTTTTTTCTGCTTGTTTTTCTGCACTTTTATTTGATCATTATTGAACTTTATAAATTACTGTTTTACATTTTAAACTCTAATCTGTTATTATTATTACCTTATACAAGTTTTGTTGATTATTATTCAGTCTATTATTATGACCTTTTTGTGTTTGTCGCCTTTCTTCATATCTATCAATTGGATTATTATCTGACCGATAACTGACTTTCTTCCTTACCCCTTGATTAGTACATAACCTCATTTGTTATTTATTCTCGAATCCATTTTTGGTGATGCAGTCTTTTCTATCCTTCTATAGACATATATTTTTCATATATAACCATATATACGAATTAAAACATGAATTTCAGCGAACGGATCTCTTTTTAACGAATTTATTATTAAGCTGTACAATCGTATATATATGAAAATTTTGTAACATTGATTTGAACCTTTATTATTTTTATCAAAACTAATGCACCTGTTGTCACACCATCAATTTGTACTTTTCACATTTTACTTATTATGTAATCTTTATCATAGTTATCATTGACTTATAAACTACCTTGATTGATTTAATAATTTCGTATATGCATATAAATATTACTGTATATTAGAGTAAAGCCTGATGAGGATCTAATCGAAAACAATATTGTTCGCTTATATATGTTGTTCTAAATTTTGTTTTTGCAAAAGTACTAATTCCGTGCGGAAATGTGAACACAGTTAATAAAAAAGGGTTCAGTCAGTCAGTCAGTAACAACGTAGAACTTCGTACGTACGTACATCAGTTCGAGTTGCCACACCACATTAGCACAGAGATGCACTTGTCGATTCAAATCCCGTAGTGGTAGAGGTAATAAGAGTATAAGCAGTTATCGGGACCAGTCAGATGGGATTACGTCCAGTTCCCAAATTCTACCTAAGACCTCGGTTAATCTCATTGCTAATACTGGACCACCATCCTTAAAAATCTCAGGAGTAAACCTGTCAGGGCCTGCTGCTCTCCCTCGTTTCAGATTTCCTATGGCTTTTTCAACTTCGTAAAGGGACGGAGGACCTACATTAACTTGCCATTCAGGTTGACTAGAGATCGTGGGAAACCGAAGTGTGGCTGAAGGCCAGTTGAACTGATCCCTAAAGTGTTCTGCCCATCGATCCAATCTCCTGGATTGAGAATGAATAATATGTCCATCTTTCTCTGAGATTGTTTCACTAACGGTCGGGTTCCTAATCCCGGTTTCCTTAACGAGTCTAAACAATTGTCTGCTATTACCTATTGCCGCTGCCTTTTCCATCTCTCTTGCTTTCGCTACCCACCACTGTTCGCGATCATTGCGTAGAATTCTTGTCAGCTTGCGCTTAAGCTGACTCCGCTCTTCATTATGTTCAGAGCCAGGTGGAATGTCTTTCCGAGTATTTATCAGTGCGATAGATGCTGCTGAGATCCAGTGTTGCCATTTATTCCATCAGGATACTGGAGCCCATATGCAACATTGGTTTGGAATCAAAGTTTTCCAATGCCCCTACTCGGACCCTCCATATCCCCCATCCCGGTTAAAGCACCAGACATTCACTTCTCGTCTTCTCAAGTTCGTAAACAACACCCCGGCCAAGAGAAGGCAGTGAGCAGGACTTCCCTGTCAGTGGCTGTATACTCGTGGCCATGTGAGAGCATTTCGAGCAGGGTGAACTAACTCTCTCCACCCTCGACCATACCAGGGCATTTGGGAGCGAATA